TTTTAAACATTGCCTTTATAAATTTAATATGTAAACAATTTACAAATTTAATAAATGTTGATTTTGCATGAAAACGATGATCTCATATAAAATACCGTTTCTAATTAATATGTTGCATTATTTAATATGAAGCATAACAAATATTCTGGTACATAATTGTAATTAAAAATAAACACAAAAAATATCTATATTTTATTTCACAAAACCTTTGAAATACGTTTTTTTATAAGCGTAGTCGAAACGACGAAACGAGTAAGCGTTGAAAAATAAGGTTAGTAATCTAGGGTTAAATAGTAGTAACATTTTAAACGAATTTTAAATACTTTAATTTTAAGACATTGTACGCCCGACTAGGGTAAAAACAGTGAATCAAATAGTATGTAAAACCTTTGTTTTACCGGTTCATACAATTTTTCCGATTTCTGAATGATAAATGCGATTGGAGGAACGGAAAGAGGTAGGTAGGTATGTGAGGAACATAGCAAGTGGCTGTCAGTCGTCCCTACGTAACCCATTGATGGAGAGACGGGCGTGATTGTTGTATGTTAGGCTAAGAAGTCACGGGGCGGTTTTACACCCGCGCAGGTCGCGGCTGCCCGATGGGACTGTTGTTTTATTTCAACACACACGACACTGCAGGTTTGTGCGGTCGCGTAGCCGCCGCGGTTGCGGAACGAAATGCAAACTTAAAGGGGACATTATTATCCTAGATTGCAGTCTTCTTTGGCGTCCGCCGCGCAATGTAAGATTATGAATGTAGTCGCAGCGTGCAAACCACCCGACAATCCTGCATTGCATCCTGCGAGACTCCACACGTGGGCCATACGCAGGATAGTGTTTCAGAAGTCTCCTGCTTGCGCGGTGGACTGTCTTGCAGGTCTGCCGTCCACTAGCTAATACGCGGCTAAGTGACAAATGGTCAAATAACCGTCTTAAATAGCAAAAAATAGAGCACAAAATTCTCTTTTAAAATACAGTTACAATTAGTTAAAGTGTTCGACTTATTGGAACTTATCCTAACGATGCATAGCTGAAATATCATTAAACAATTTCAATAAAAATTCTAAAACTGGGTTATGGTTTTATAAGATAAAACTTTATTTTGTCACTTAGGCGCGTTGTATTTAGTAGGTACAGGTAGTGAATGGGCCGTTTTAGCGGCAGATGATGGCAAGTCGCACGGTTATTTGCGATCGATCGAGATCGTCGACGGCGAACCGACCAGTCAGACGACCGCGTCTCGCGGGGTTCTAATAGTACCCCGCAGGTGCCGCGAGTAACAGTCCCGGCCACAGGCAAATCTGCTACTAAATTTTATATACTATCTGAATTCTACGAAAACCGCAGTCCCGCAACCACGGCGAGGGTGGGTGAAAACCGCTCCGTTAGTTCTTAGCCTTATATTGACTATAAAATGTCAGAATTAATTTTGCAAATGAAAAACGAACACGACAAAGATATGACGTCTAATTTTCAATGGGAAATGTTACCCGTTTGTATAGAAAGTTACTTTGCGTTTATACAGACTTGTCACAGACCCGAATCAACCCATACATATCCCACTGTTGGATACAGTCCTCTAAAGTCTACATCAATTCCCATGGGTAAAGTCTATATCAATACCCAGGGGTCCACGTCAACCAACAAGAAACTCAACTCGACGAAAAAAATTTGGAGTGCACGGGACGTTAATTGGGGTTCACGAGAGTGTTTATGGCACCGTCTTTGTTTCCGATTTCCATAACACAAGTGCTATACTTACTTATTTTGGGATCAGAGGAACGTATGTGATATTGTCTAATATTTATTTATAATAATAAAACAATGTTATGAGCCAGAAATAAGAAAATTAAGAATTTCAACGAAAATATCTACATTTTTGAACATTATAGTCTCATTTCAATGGTGTTGTTTTCAACGTTCGATATGCTTTAGAGAAAATATTCGATTATAAGCTAATGATACAGCAGTAATACATGATAAAAAAACGAATTTTAATTCTCCAAAAAACGCTGCTTCCTCACACAAACTATATATGATCAAACGATATGGAAGTACCAAAATTTTAAATTATTTTTTTACTATATTTGTCCATGTTACAGTTTATGTACAATGTTTGGACTGTAACATTTTGCAGTGTTGTTTAGTCATAGATAGTGCGTTTAATAACTTTAGATATTACCACTATCATTCGCGGAGTAACACACCAGGCAAGGAGCAAAAGTGAAATTCCTCAGAGTGTACAATCGTAACCGTTCATCCGTCCATCATACAGGTTTAAATTTTACTAATAGTTTAGCATAATTAATTAAAGCATTTTTAGAATATTGAAAGGTGTTGTAATCGTAAATTAAAATTTAGTCGTTTTTGAAAATGAATATCAATGATTTTAGTCTTTGTATATCCACGGAGTCACACAGATATATAACTTAATTGCAAACAACGAAGAAACAAACTTAAAACAGCCAATGAGAGCAGTTTCAAGTTGTTTCTTTTTTTAATAAATTGTATACACGGTGTTCCAATTTAAGACACTATGTTACTTAAACCTATGACCTGGCTGATACGCCAAAGACGCCGAAACCTTTTAAAGTTCAATGGAAATCAATAAAAAAAATATTAAGATATTCCTTGTGTTATTTGTATATTCTAGTTAATACGGATTCATAGTTGCATTTCATTCAATATAAGAATTGAATTAATATAAGGTGGAAATTCATTACATGTCATATCACTATATATAGGCTTGGCGTCACTATATATAGGGAACCAAACTAGTTTTAGTCAGTGGCTTCCTTCCAATCCTTATAAAAAATCCTTGTAATTGACCCTTTTGATCGGGATCATAAAAATTTGAAGCAAAATATCCTATCTACAATATTTAAAGTACATTCCCTAACCGCATAACCCTGGGATATCCTGTATATTTATAGATGTTGTAAATTATTTCAGGTAACACAAATTAGACCTATCGGACATAAAATTGGTCAGACACTTGTGAATATTTCGACGACGCGGCAAACCTGCATTGCGCAATAGAATTTACTACGAAATGGGTCTTTTGAAATTAACTCGCGAATAACTAAACACGATACAATGACACCTACTAATATAATACTTCGATTGTTTTCTGGATCAGTGGCCTATTTCAAAAATATCTAATTCCAAAAAGTCCAAAAATTGGTGAAATTACACAGGACAGGACACCTGGGACTTCTTAAGGTGACGGGTGCAATGGCAGTGCCCGCCAGTACTTTGCCATTTAAAGCTCTGACTGCTACGGACAGGCGTGTCGCTTACTACCAGGCGCACGACTAGTTCGTTCCGTCACTTGGTGTCATAAATAAACGACGTATAAAAGATTTTATACGAGTGCAATGTCGTCGGTTGAATATTTTGAAAACTGCTGAGTAACAAGCGATAAAACTGATTATTTTAATTTGAGCCACTATTCTTGAAACTTCAATTGCAAATTACCATTGGGTAAATTACGTTAAAAAAGTACGTTGCCTTGGAAAATTTTTATGTAGGTATATTTTAGAACATCTTGTCTTGTAAGGTCGTGTCAATCTCAGTCAATCAATCAATAACATTCATATGTAAAAGAGGCACGCGCAAATAATATTGTTTTGAAATTTGTTCAAAAATGCTCAGTTAAGGCAGAATGTCAGATAAGGCAGGTACTTTTTATAATACCATGTGACGAGACAGACAAGTCGTGCGATTGGTGGTAAGCGACACGTCTATCCATAACAGTTGCAATGCCACTCAGAGCTTTAATTCGCAAGATTTTAGGTGCACTGCCACTGCGCCCATCGCCCTATTGACAAGTCCCATGTACCTGTAATTTCATCAACACCCTTCAAAACCGGATCGCAGTACTTACATTACGGCGCGGCAGAAATAGGTAAGGTGGCAGAACTTCCCTGGACGAATTCTTTCACAAAGAGCTCTACTACTACAATATAAGTACATATGGTATAATAAGAAGACAGGTAGGTTACACATCCCTCCCAGGGTAAAATTGTTATATGATTATTTTCTTCGCAAAAATGTTTGAAAAATCAAGGTTCTCGTGCTATTGAAATAATCTTTACCAAATGCAGTACTTAGCAATTTTTTATCAATTAATTTTTATGGTATCACGATTATGGGAGTATGATCATGACATAGAAATTAAATGCCAGTTTATAATAACGATGTAAATTTGTTTTTTTTTTTCAAAATTATCCATTGTAAACATTATGACGCCGACAATATAAACTGGCTTCGATGTCGACACTGCATATATTTGGAAGATAGAATATGGTTAATAAATCAGATCGCATCATAATAGTTAAATGTAGAAAAGAAACCAAGCCTCGCAATTCTTTCACGTACATTTACTTTAAATGTGTACAGTCTAGTGTTTTGAAATCTTCTATACATAACAAAGATATTGTGGACTGATTAGCGATTAATTTGTTTTGAGGGTATGGCCGGGCTTGATCGAACTTGGTTGAGGGGCCCCCAGTTGACAACGCCGACAATAAACCCAGTCCAATTGCGTAGAAAAGATAAACATGTATAATGGCGTAAGCTAAATCAGTAGCCAATATCGTGTGCGATACAATATTTTATAAAGTGCAGAGGTCTAAGTTTTTTGAAAGGTAACTAGACGATGTTAGTACCTATACATCACTATTATGCTCTCAAAGTCCTTAGCGACGCATACGAGTGATTGTACTATGTATATAGGTCAGTTCACCTATTGTTTAAAAGACGCCGTGAATGTTTAAATTGTTTTACATTAAACAGGGTTATATAAAATATTTGTATTAAAAATTTAATCACTGGCGGAAACTTAAGATCTTTTAAGGTATTACAAATCTTTAAGATCGATAGATTGTCTATACGCAGCGATAGTCTCTTTCTACCATGTGTACCATCTGACAGTATGCCTAGCGTACCAAATTAGGAAAAAAACTTGAACAAAGAAATACATTGATGACGTCACTTACGCCATGATACTCTCTTGACACGTTTCGAAGGAGGTCCAGCGTGGACTCTTGGCGGGATGTGGGCGGGGACCTTCCTCAAGGCGCTTTGGTACCGAAGAAGGAAGGCGTGGACAGCACATTTTACTGGAGATATAATATTGTCAGACGCAGAAGATATGGTTAGGGTCATATTGGCTTTCCGTGCTCGTCTCTTCGCCGCCCGGGACCCAGCTCGACGTCTACGTCGCCTACTTTTCTTCATCACTTCCCCAACTTGAGCAGGAACGTCTTTTTCCTTACTAACCATGGCTAACTCAAAGTGACGCGACGCGACAAAATGGCGGCACAAAAATTTGTAACTTTACTAATTTTAATTTTAACAACTAAGAATAAAAACTTAACTAACTTAAAACTATCTATCGCAATTAAAAAAAATAAAAAATAAAAAAAAACAGAAAAGACAAAAACGTGACAAAATCGACTAAAAACTAAACTTGGCCTTAGAGACGCGGATCGAATAAAGAAACCTGGTACCGACAACCTGATCGTAACGATATACGATAAAAGAAAACTGAGAAAAAATGTTTCTCGCGTATACACGACAGGGCGCGTAGAGGATCGTCTCAAAGACTGGGACGTAGCGAAATCGCTTCGATTTAGACATGTAAAATACCCTCAAAAATTCATATTTTTTCCGTCGAATGTAATCTCCTCTACCCTTTACTGCGACAAAAATAGCTTCTGCAAAACCGTTTGCGAAAGTGACCTTCACCTGACGAATGACCTAGCTGTTATGTTACCGCGGAATACGTACACAACACAAATAAATAATTACAGTTCAGTGACTCAACAATCCCAAATTAGGGATAATTTAAGCAAATTCATGTAACACACATTATATAGGAAAACAAATGAAGTTTAAAAATAAGTGACGTATGTATAAGTAACTTCAAAGCTGCCATCGTGGTATAAATATACTACCCAAAGTGGTTCGAAATCGAATCGAATATTTAAGTAACTTGCGTAATTTCTTTTTCACGTAATCATTCCATATTATTAAAATGACAAGGCATATACCTACCTACAAGGCATCGAAAATGTGATCGTTGCCTGTATTTGTAAGCAAAAGATAAAGAATATCAACAAACGTGATTTTTTTTAAAAATCTATATGTGAAGGTTTTAATCTCTTATGACTGTAAGCCATAATAAGTACGGCCACAAACCAATATGTTTGAGTCATTTCTTATTATGATTCTCATATAAAAAAATATTAGTCAAGGTATACATCCAAGTTTTCTAATAATATGATACTTAGGTGACAGTAAAAAGATGTATAGTCGCCATAAAAAATGACTGAAAAGTGGCTTTTCAAGACATTTGTGGCCTATCTATTGTGATCATTTTAGCAAATGCGGAATCCTCTTAGCTCTGAGTGTTATCTCCTCCTCCTAAAAACCAGTAGAAAACACAAATATCCTTTATTTACAACTGATTAAGGTCAAACTCACTTCAGCAATAGCTGATGGCAGACATTAGAAAGAGATAAATAAGCTCAAATAGAAAGTACAGTCTACAGGACATCAAGCTTATATACTTTAAAAACGAAAATCTCGAAAATAGAACAAGATCCGTCAATGTGAAGTTTAATGTCAGTACACAAATGCTTGAATGCAAAATATTTTAGTACCTTAAATATGTAGAGAATAAATTTTATAGACAAGCAAATACAAATCACCTTTTATGGACCCATTGCTACTGTTCTATTAGTTTTATAAAACTATGGTCTAAAGCAGAGTTTATATGCAAATTTGTAATAATAAAAACTCTCTGTCCATTCCGAATAGCCCTTTAAAAATAGGGGTTCTTACAATTATATGAATACGGGCTTTCAGGGTCATGGCTTGACCTTCATGTCCCTGCAGTGATGCACCCCTCTGGCATAAATAAGGGGTTGTAAAAGATTGAATTACCATATTAGTATTTCATTCATGCAGATTCATCTATGTAAAATGTATAAATGTGATTAAATTTGTTATTTAATTTAGAAAATTATAATGGAAATTGAGATTTTTTTTAAATTATGAATTAATAGTGTAATAGTTAAGATTAAAAATGAAAAAAAAATTACAATCTAAGCCACTTATTAATACCAATAGTTAGCCTATATATAGTCCCACTGCTGTGCACAAGCATCCTCTCACAATGAAAGGGCTTAGGCTGTAAGTTCCCGTGCAAGCCCACTGTATATTGGGAACTTCACACATATTGCTTTGCAGATGTGTGCAAGTTTCATCATGATGTTTTCCTTCATCGAGCTCATAGTTTCAAATAAAACTGCTTATTAGATTTTTAAACTTACACTATCGGTTTTCAAAGGATAATATTAAATATTAAATATTAATGAAAGATATGTATGCAAAAATGTCTTTAGTAAAGTCATTGCTTGGTGAAAGTTACAACTTTGTATTGGCAGTTCTCTCGCGTCCACTATCTGGTTCGGTAGTCAATTGACCCAAATATTACATAAAACGGTAACTTGTGGGGTCTATTCAAAGTTTGCATGGCCCTTCATCACTGCTATCAGCAACTGATCTATTTTGATTACAACTCCGAGCCAAGACCAAAAGAATTAAAGAACAGCAGTATTTTCTTGGACTGAATAATTTGAAGCCTACCGCCTCCTACACCTATAGGAACTGTTTGCCCAGGAGTTGATAGAATTGGGTGCCAATTAGAGAACATTGGTTTGGAAATGCAGAGGCGTCTCTTCAGCTTCATATCAGAACTACAGTCTCTGCTCTTGTTTAGCTTGACTTTCGACTCATGCTTATACAAACCAGTGCAGTAAAAGCACTGGTCAGTATTTAGAGTTCAACCAGTTCAACCAAAAAGAACCAGTTCAATGTCAGAGTCTCTTGACAGTGTTTGGTACTGTAGGCGTCAAGTCAGGGTTTTCGAGAGTACTAAAGGTTTCAAATATCATTCACCAAATTAACTAAATAAAAAAAGTACTGCAATTTTGTCTTAGAAATATAAAACTTTTTATTGTTAGTGAATACATAAATTCTCAATTAATTCCAAATGTAAATTGTTACATTTCGGCGACAACACCTATTTGTCTATGAAAAAAATAAACAGTCACCTACTTCCTGAGTTTGCAGTATTATTGACCCAGATTTGTAAAATGTACCATTTAAACAGCATTATATTGTGGACACTACATACAAGTGAAGCGTTAGTGCACAATGTGGGTCTTCAGGACTACAATAGGAATGTTTTTTTTAACAGACGATGTTTTGTGGTCTAGAAAAATCGCTGCATTCACGCCTATGAAATAGATACAAGACACGCGAAAATAATGAAACTAAATAGGATAAAAGGCAGAAATATGGTAAAAAACATCGATAAAGAAACTCACCTTCTTGATTTGAGCCATCTTTCGGGCTTTCGTCACTAGGTTTCTCTTTCAAAGATGACAATAGGTTCACAGCTGACATAGCTTGCAAATATTCCACACAATTCAGTCTTCGCTCAATATATTAACTCTACTAAAATTATAAAATAACTTTACAGTATTTACAAAAGTCTTCAGGAAATTACTCTATCACCTATGTATTGTTTATATCACAGACTTTTCGTTTTTCAACAATACGGATCAAAACGTCCACGCACGAAAATACTATCAATATTTACAAGACTCTAGGTATAATAAACTTATTTACACATTAAAAACTAACGGTTATCAGCTAATTTTAACAAATACGCTCTAGCGGTCACAAGATACTCATAACTAAAAGAATTTATCAGTTTTCGATGCAAAAATATATAAAACGTCCGCCATATGCCTTTTTAGACCTACGTTACTTGGCACAATTCAAGATGCATAGAATACAACGTTTCTGCCCAAAAATTAAAATCTTTCTAATTTGGTTGCACTATACCCAGTTGCCATTTTGTAGACTGTTTTAAAATGTCGTTGTTTTGTTTGATGTAGTTCGAGCTTAGCTTTAGTTTACTGCATTGTTAAATAGCATTTCAAGGAAAGTTATGACAATTTCTATTGTATTTACGTTATTTTGATGGTTTTAAATATTCTCTAGAACTCTACATATTTTATAGTTACATTTTGTTTTACGATCTCCCACGATGTATTTACTTATGGCAACAATATACACGCATGTTCTCAATCAAAATTGTTATGATAATCAAAGCTCATCTTTTTTTTTTAACTTTTTATTTAAAGTTTGTCAAAGTAGGTTACAGCGACATAAATTAATGGATAAAAACTAAATTTTACTTGAGTGATTAGAAAAAATACTTTTTCGTAATATACAGATACGAAGCAAAATTAATACAAAAATATTAAAAAATATATTCCTGTATAATTTTTATATTCTGATTGTTGAACGTACTTTTAAATGTCAGTTGAGATTTGGGAAATGGCGTGACTAGTGGTTCCATTGCATATTTTTCCAGATTTTTAATTATTTTTCATGTTTTTTCTACTGTTTAGTTACAAAAATGTCGTCAAAGTGGACTAATAGTCACAGTGAATCCGGTATATTAAGAAAGAGTGAATTCAAGGAGAAGAAAGAAGAGCTATTCGTGTTCGGCTATTCGTGCAAATTGTTCAGGGACGATGATAGAGCCCTGGTGATTGATCAAGGAAAGCACCTCATTCCGTGGATGGGGGATGAAACGTTGAAAATCGACAGGTTCGATCCGTTTTTTACTATAAGACTGCTAATTGTGGCCCTTAAAAGTTAAAAAGCGATTGTAAATTTGAAAATACTAAATTTTGGAAGATACCTAAGATTTTCGCAGACGATGTTTGAAGTTACGCGGTGCGGTGGCCGCGGCGGCGGCACAGGCGCCGGCGTCGCATAATCTAATGGTGACTCTCCTTGGTGGTATGTATAACTTGCACAGGTATACTTGCGTATGTAAATCATAAACAAACATTGTGATTTCGTTTCATACTGTCCCACAGCCGATTAAGTTAAGACAACAATCTGCAATTTAACATTCTAAAGTAATAAGAACACATAAAAACACAGGCAATTAACACACACTTTAAACATACACTTGTTTTGTATTAGTGTTTATTACTTCTAAGATTTTAGCATATTATTCAAGCTTGATGTTAACACAGGGTTATCTTGACAGGTACGATGCGAGAGGAGCACTTCACGAGTTGTCGTCCCACGAGGCGCCTCCAGGGGGTTTCGACTGGAGGGTAGAGCTGAGGAAGAGCGAGCTGGACGTAGAACAGCTGTGCGATGAAGAAAGGTACCGGGCTCTGCATACTGATGAGGATGAAGAAGAAATGTATAAAGGTATATTTCTTGCTGCTATATTTTTGCAATAAGTTTAACCGATTTTGATGTTCTTTTTTGTTGGAAAGAGGGTACCTCAGTAGTTGTTCCACTCAAATTTGAAGAAAATATTCCACCTTTAAGGGTGGCAAACTAAGGGATGAATGAAAGTGGTCAGTTTTTTTAGTACTATGTGCTGATAATTGTGTTTTCACAATCAACTTTGACCCATGTGTACTTGCATGTTGCTAATGTGTAGAAATAAAGAAGTATCAAAGAAGAAGTTCAGAGCTGCAGCAAGAAATATGAAACCCGACATGTCCACAAGAACAGATTGGCAAGTACCCTGTAGCAATCACAGGAAACCCAATGTGTTTGAAACGATGGCTCATCTTAAGCTTGGATCGGCAAAAGGGAACACCACTACAAACTGTGACAGGGCATGATGCTCGCAAGAGCAACTCCCTTCCAACGCCATTAAGAAAACTCGTCTTATTATTACTGAATAGCCGGATAGCTTTCATCAGCTACTGTAGATCTTTCATACAAGTATAAATCTTTATAAGAACATCAACATTGTTTTTTTTCCAGAGGAAGAGTTGAAACGTCTCCATGCAGCAGGTTATGGGCAAGTTGGATTCAACTATGACACACCAAAAGAGCCTGAGCCGGAGTCGCAACCCATCGAAATTGACGAGCCGTTTGTTCCCACCCCCTATCTTAAAGCTTTGTTGCCCACTGATATGATTTTGGTGAGTGGTCTTTCAATTTCAGCCTTTTGAGCAATTTTAAATTACATTTCAATGGTTAATAATGCATTACAATTAATATCTTTATTGTTAGTAAATAATTCCACATTCATTGAACTTCAAATCTGTTTAAGTCTGTCCATTCACCCAATTCGTTGTAAGCCACATCCAGTTCATTCTGACTTCATCTTTAGCATTTCATAATTCATTCATGTGATGTTGTGTTTCACTGAGTTAAATTTACAGTTGCCTAAAAGCTGTACTTTAGTCAATTACTATAGTTTTACCAGCAGGATAAAATATTCTTTCACTTACAGCCAGAATCAGAGAAACAGAATGCTATAATAGAAAAAACTGCCAAGTTCATAGCTACACAAGGAGCCCAAATGGAGATCCTCATCAAAGCCAAGCAGGGAGACAATCCTCAGTTCCAGTTTCTGAACAGAGACTCGGTTCTTCATCCGTACTATACTGCACTTATTGCTTTGGTAAAGGCTGAAAAATGGCCAGAGAGGAAGGTTGAAGTTGTTGAAGGTTTGTGCTTTTTAACAAAATTTTAAACTATCAAATTTTTCAGTTTTTTATTCAAATATCAATAAAAAAACTAGAAAAAACGTAATAAAGTAACAGAACAAACCTTTCATGCACCTGGTGGTAAGAGAACGCCTATCCATAAGTCTTGCAGCTCCACTTAAACCTTAAATCCCATAGCTACCAGGGGCACTCCAACTGCGTCCATCACCCTGAGACATGAAGTTGACAAGTTCCAATGTGCCTGTAATTTCACCAGTACTTCCCTGAACAAACTTTAGTAGGAGATCTGCTGCTATTAAGATATGTCAGTTCTTACTTTAGCCACCGAATGCTATTCAAGCATTATTTATTGGCCATTATGCATTAGTTTCTAAAAGCGTAAACCCTAACTATTCCAATAAATATACTTCATTTCTTTTTCAGAAAAAGTACCAGATAATGAAGAATACTTACATCCAAGTTTAGCATCTACTATCATTGAGTCGGTGAGTTTTTTTTAGATGTTTGATAGTATGTTGTCGCGAAGTTTGAAATGAAAAATGGTAACCAGTAACCTTAACTGCCTCAGTGGCCGAATGGTTACCATGCCGGACTTCCACGCAGAGGTCCCCATTCGATTCGATCTGCGAGTTCTATTTCATATGAAATCTACGCGCTTCCATCAAAACACACGAACACATTGGCAAAAATCCGCTATAATATAAAACATTTAAAGAAATGGCGGCCAAGAAGCCGAAATTAATCGGATTATAGTCGAATAGCGTTCACGTAAATTTAAACATTATTCCAACAAGTTCAATTTGTTTTAAAGTCAGAATTGTTGCCAGATGTAAAACTTTCTTAAAATAATATAACAAAATTATTATAATAGCAAATTAATGCACAATAAGGTTAATTTCTATTTTGTAAATCTTAACGATAAATAGTTTTACATAAATATCTATTATCTATTCGGGTGTTCTTTTTAATAGGGCTACGTAAAGAATGTATGTAGAAGGTCATGGTAATTCGTAGATAATTAAAATAACAACACTTAGCATTCGTGAGTTTGTTTAATAAAACACTTTCGTATCGAAACGGGCTGCATAAAATGTAGTAGATTACCTTAAGAACTATAGTTATTTTGTGTGTAGAATAAGTTAACTTGTGAAATGAAGTGAACTAGTATCTTGTCTGCTAATAAATGTTGCATTTAAGAGTCGTCAAGGCGCCTTTTTAACGGGAAAAGAAATATTTGTTAAAAAGTCAAAGCTTCGGCTTTAGCAAGGAACCTTGTCACGCCTCGCCACTGCAACGCAGTAAATGTAATAACACAGCATTTAAAAATTAGAAACAGTATGATCTTATCAAAATAAAGAATAATTAAAACCTAAAGAGATAATGTTTGAAATAGTTAAAGAACTTCACAATAAATAACAGACTTTTAAACGCGGGAAGGCTATCGTGCATTAATATAATATAGTGATTGCAGCAATTTTTATTACATGATCTAAACATACAGAATACTGGACCATTTATAGAAACTTTATTTTTGCTTGAAGCTTGAGTAAAAAATAATTGTCCCCCTAAAGGTCTTGCCCCTAAAGGCAAATTCAGTCCAATAATAACTTGTCACAAATCTACCTCTACATGTAATGGGGTCATAATGATAATGATGACGCCACCTACATATTTTTTTCCAGGCGCCGTCAATCCCTAGCATACACTACAAACCATCAGCAGACTGCGACTACACTCTTCTCATATCCAAAATGCGTGGTGAACCTCCTCCTGAAGAGCCGTACACCCCCGAACTTGCCCCGGGAGAGGTTGCTCCGCCGGGCACTGAGCCTTTACCCCCGAGATCCAACGCCGAGATAAGCCGAGCTCCTGTCATGTACAACAGAGGAGAGAACCATGGTAAGTAAATCTTTTAGCTCTTCATGTTGTTTACAGTGTACATGATAATTTTATTTATTTAGATTTTTAACCTTTGACCATTGACTTACAATTATATGGTCGTCGGGTCCGCGCTAAAAAGTGTCCGAACTTATAGGGCGTTAAAATCGTATACAGAGCGTCATTCACGCTTTAGTCTTCGTTTGTTTGACTGACAGCGAAGCAAGCAAAATTAGACAGTACTGCGATGACATTACAATTTAAAAGCTTTTTCATATTCCTTTACATGTCACTATGTTTAAATAGGTTGACTTGGGACATTTTTTTCGTGGTTTTTGTATTAGACCGTTCGTGCATTTATTTGTAAGTCAATGCCTTTGACGCAAAAACAGAGGAGTTAAAAATTTGAAACCTGTCTTCATATCAGTGTATCTGTGGCATCGTAGCTTCCACAGGGCCGGACTGGCTTTTCGTAGCATTAGAGCTCCTTGTGAAACAGGTTGTCCAGGGAAGTACTGCCACCTTACCTATCTCTGCCGCCAAGAAATAATGCGAGCATTACTGCGTTCCGAATTTGAAGGATAAGGGTGCTGGTGAAATTACAGGCACAAGAGACTTCACCTTCTGTCTTAGGGTGGCGGGCGCAGTGGCAGTGATAGAGAAATAGAGAAGAAATAAGAGCCATATATTCCTGGTGACTCATCAGTGATACATCACTTATAAATATCAACTCTGGTTTGCACTGAAATATAGACAGCGCCAACAACTGACCTGTGTTTGCATCTCCATATATTCCAAAAATATTCTGTATTTATTGTAATAAAGATAATATCTCTAACAATAGCGTGCTATTCCATTCGGTGGTGTGGGACAAACAGCAAAACATCTAATTACAAAACAAACGGAATCAAATTTCATTGGATGTTGGTAATTAAATATGAAATATGTAATTTTGCAATTTTCGTCCATTATAGCAAAGCTCAAGTTAACTGGTCGATTTGAATTGAAACCGTTGACGACACCCGTCAATTGTTTCGAACACGGGCTAGCCAATCGGAGCGCAGTTGTCACAATAATGATATGGCAGAATAGTTTTCAAACAAATTAAATGACACTTCGTCTCTATTTCTGGTAGATTCGTGACGCTACAGCTACTAACTATTGCGATTGAATTAGCCTTCAAATAACAAAAAAACGCTTTAAATTCAGTCTTTTTTTTATGATACTTAGTGACGGACGGGACGAACAAGTCGTACGCCTGATGGTAAGCTACACGCCTGTCCAAACAGTTATAGTGCCACTCAGAGCTTTAAATCGCAAAGATCTGAGGGGCACTACCACTGCGCCCGTCACTCTGACACATAAGTTGATAAGTCCCTTCAAAACCGGAACACAGTAATGCTGACATTACTGCTTGGCGGCAGAAATAGGTAAGATTCCCAGATTTTACGTCAGTCAATATCTTAAATAAAATAGTAATACTTTGTTACTATTTAAATCACCAACACAGTGATAAATGTTGATAAAATTTATTATTTGTCCTAAAAATGGTTTTCTTTTCACTTTCCTTATTACAGTGTCTTCTCTTACGTTAATAATAAAACTTATTAAACTTTTACGCTTATTAAACGAAATCGCAGAGTAAGAAGGTATCATCCATCAGAAGGTGGCATCCATAGAAAGCCAAAGTCGCAAGTAAAGACTCACAGATGAATAGCAAATAGAGAAAACAATACGCGTCCGCACCGCACAGATGTGAAAACTGACTAATTAGCTTGCCCTTATGAATGCGGCTTTAGTGGCTTATCTCTAACCAATCACGTGTGGCTGTGTTTTCTCAGTACTAGGTCGCTAAGTTAAATAGATTATAAATTAGACTAAATAATCATGGCAGTGAAATGGCGATGGCTAAGCATTAATGCCGCAGCATCCCACGACTCTGGTAAGCTGCCAGAACCGTGTTAAAAGAGACCCCACTTATCATCTACGACATTTCTCTGGCGTAATAGTTTAATGAAGTTTCTAAATATATTATATTTTATGGGAAATCGATATGTGTACTTTAACTAGTCTGACCGATTTGAAATTTCATATACTGTGAAAATCCGATAACATTACAGTAATATGGTAACCTTGGTCTTATACTGCAACTAGGATAGTCTGCCGACTGCCCAACTCCTCAACTACTCATTGCCAAGATCCTCTGACTCCTCAACTACTGATTGTGATGTTTGGTCTTATTCTGTTGGCTTTTCACGAGTAGTTTGCTTACAGGTATTGATTTTCCGAAACAACAATACAAAACACTGTTTTGTATTGTAATTAAGTTTTATTGGATGTCAGCATATTTCACCAACACGATATTCATTTATAGTGAAGAAAAACTTTCATAGATTCTCTACCAAGGTCGTGCGGGGAGGGCTCCTTTCGTGCACCCCTTAAAAATAACTATCTATATAAAATATGTACCATGTATATTTAACGTAAATAGCTACTCAATATCGAGAACTTAACTATTCTTTTTAATACAAAAACCTAAAAAGTTATTAAACACATGTATATCCGAGTTTTGTATTTGAATCATTATTGAACATGTCGGCTTAAACAAATAAATAAAAATACTACCTAACCAACGTGCTTTTCTGTTTTCCATGAGAATACGACAAAACCAAGAAAAAATCAATTAAAATAAAAAAAATGTTCTCAAAGATGGCGCTGCGACGGTAAAAAAGCCGTAATAACAAAGATCTGCAACAAGCACATAGAAAAATTCGTAAAGTCCACTAGTTCGTTCCGTGGTTTAGTTGGCATAGTGTATGGCACGGTTTGCTAGGAGACGTTGGTTTCAATCCGGCCAGATCGAAGCGAATGTTTTCTTAGTGTTCGATCTTTGTTTAATAATTATAACAAACTTGTTGAGTAATTTCACAAAAATAATTTATAATCATGGTGGTAATTCAATGAATTACTTTTTATTAAACTAATAATTAATATTCCAAAATAACACACATTTTTCTAGACAGCAAGTTATCGAAATCGAGTTCTCAACTCATTTCAATTCCTTCCTCTGTACAGTAGACCACGCAACGCATGCAGCTCAAGCACACGCGGCCCAAGTATACCAACAGCAGTACGCAGCTTACTACCACCAGTACATGGCCCAAACAGCCGCGGCCCAATCTGCTCTGCAGGCTCAACAAGAAAAAGAGCCGCCTAAGAGTGCCCCGTTGAAGTCTACAGGGCTGAGTTTGATGAAGAACTATAATACGGATTCGGATAGCGATGTTTCGGGTAACTATTTGATATGGTTATTGTGGGATTTAACTTGTCTGTGTTCTTGTTGAGCACAGAACTTTCCTTGCAATGTAGTATATTTTGCAGAGGCCGTGAGTCAAAGATTGCCTGACGAGTATGAGTTACAAGGTCGAGCGCCAATGAGGCCTTGTATCATACGAGTCAGTTAATCAATATTCCCGCCGTGGTATATAAATAGTGCTTTTCTTGAACAATGCGAGGAAATATGAACTAAAATAGATTAGATGTACAGTGTGTTGATTTGCATGCTCGCTATATTTAAGAAATTAATAATAGAAATAATGCTAAATTGTCTAAAAATATTAAAAAATATATTCTGTTCAATATTCTGGATAATTGTATCTAGTAAAGTTTTGTAAAATTGTGCCCAAGTGTATCACCGCGGGGTACAATGACCCCGTCACTCACTTCACCGAGCAATAGGAAATCTTTCTCGATCACTTATTTGCCTATTTTTTAACTACCTACTACTTATTTACCTATGTTTATGTCCTAGTATTGTTATAATTTACTAATTATTTACATTAGTTAGAAAAGTTGACTGGAAAAAGATTTTTTGTAACTTAGATTAGTACTTACCAACTTTAGGTGACATGAAAGTAGTGCTAGAACTAGCTTCACAGCTGGTGGCAAACTCCGTACCGGAGCCAGGCACGGATATGCAGAGTTTCGTTTCAACTTAGCACATTCTTCACAACAGAAAAAGCAGAAAGAAACCAGAGACGATATTTGCGCGCAATTCTTTGACACTCGTAATCTACGTAAACTAAACGTTTCACATCGTGCCATAAGAACGCACTTGATGGTAATGCAGGGTCTGGTGAACATGGTAGCGGCTTTTTTTTCACTAACTCTTATTTACATACCAAACCACATTGCATTTCGTGAGAAACTAGAACGTACACGATGTCTGCGGAACGTAGACGATGTCTGCGGAACGTAGACGCCATACGCAAAGTCGACTGATGATCTACCAATCACGCGCTCGATACGATACTCCCCCGTCCCTACCCGTACCCTACCAACGAATAGATCTAAAATGCATATTTTCTGCGCATAGGTCATTGTTCAAATGGTTACCGGTACCTGTGGCACGTGTAGTGCAAGTCAATGACATTTGGATCAAGCATGGTTACCGCAATTAAATAAAAAATAAGAAGTTAGAAACAAGAAAAAAAAGTTTTTTTTTTTTCCCGATTTATGTTTTTAGTGATTTGGGTTCAGTTTCGGATATAGAGACCTCTGTAAATGTGGCGAGAATGCAAAAACAAAAACACATTGAATAGATTTATCAGTTATGGAAGTACTTTTGATATCGGCCAAGCAAAAATGGCGAGCTAAGCCAATTATTCGTATTTACAAAACAAAAATCATGGCCCACACAAAGTATAAAAACTATACCCACGGCGTATAGAAATGTCGTGGCTCGAATTATAGACAAAAAGTAATGGTATGTGTCGATTTATTGTGGGTATTGGAAATTAGGGAATAAAAATAAATTATTTTTAACCGACTTCCAAAAAGGAGGAGATTCTCAATTCGTCTGAATATTTTTTTTATGTTACGCGATTACTCTATAACTAAAACGCGGCTGACAAAATATTTTTTTGATATATCATTAAAAACCATAACTCAGTTTTAGAATATTGAAATGATTTGATGATATTACAGCCATGCATCGTTAGAGTAAGTTCTGAAAAGTCGAGCACGTTGACTAATTTTAACTATTTTTAAAAGAGAATTTTGTGCTCTATTTTTTGCCATTTAAAATTGTTATTTGACCATTTGTCACTTAGCCACGTTTTTGTTAGTAGACGGCAGATTTGTAAACCGATTTTGATGATTATTTTTTGTTGCAAAGAGTGTATGTACCTCAGTATTGGTCCCATTCTAATTTGAAGAAAGGGTGGCAAACTAGGGGATGAGTCCGCTTTCCGGGAAACCCATTTCAATAATACTGGCAAATATATGTAATAAGGCAAATGTATTCCACGAACTTTTGAGGTCGTTTTTTTATTATAATTATATAATTTATAACAAAATGTTATTTATAACAAAACTTTATAAACTTTACATGCTACAAAATTGCACTTTGAAAACAGTACCGTTACTAAACGAAAATCTTTTCGGGAAATGGCCAAAAGCAAAAGTAAAGAAAAACCCAGATTTTCGTGTAGTGACAGTATTCATTTTAACGTGTGACGTATTTTTATATTGATGTGTTGAGGAACTAAAGCTCCTTTTAGTTGATTTTAATGGAACCATAATGGCGTGCAATATCAAAGCCATCTTATTTTCTTCCCAGATTGCGATGACACCTCCTCAACGGACAGCAAAGACAAACCAATAATAATACCTCCCCCCAAGGAGATCCAAACGGTCATAGAAAAGATGGCATCTTACGTAGCACGGAACGGCGTTGAGTTTGCCGAAATCGTTAGAGCGAAGGGGGACCCGAGATTCGCCTTCTTGGAACCTGATGATGTGCACCATGCTTACTATAAGACCAGATTGGCTAAACTACAGATTGGTGATGAAAAGGGAAAGGCTAAGAAAGCTGCTGGTAAGTTCGTCATATAATAATATTACAAACAGCTATGGACAAGACAAAACCGAATTTATAGGTATTTGTCACAGACTTACAAATGCGAAGCAGACGAAGTGAAACGCCAGCAGATAAAAGAAGATGGCGTGTGGTGCTTGAAATCTTTTTCCTCTTCTAAGCTATGACCTATAATATATTTGTGCAGCAGTAGAGCTTGTGAAAGAGTTCGTCCTGGGTAGTATTGCCGCCTTACCTGTTTCTGCCGCCAAGCAGTAATGTCCGCATTACTGTGTTCCGGTTTAGAAGGGTAAGGGTGCTGGTGAAATTACAGCCGCATGAGACTTGTTAACTTATGTTTCAAAGTGACGGACGCAGTGACATTGCCCCTCAGATCTTTGCGATTGAAAGCTCTGAGTGGCTCAGCAACTGGTATGGACTGGCGTGTAGCTTACCATCAGGCGCACCACTTGTTTGTCCCATGATATTATAAAAAAAATTACTATACATTTTTTTTGTTAGTCCAGTAACGCTAGCACGAGAGCAACATATAGCGCGGGGTCTCTATGCGAGAATAACAGTATTTCGCGCTTTGTAGAATAGAATAGAATTATTTGTTTCAGGCATAAACCTATATAATTTTTAGTAACATTTTCACTTAGAATATGTTAGTATATATGTATAACATAATATTTATTTAATAAATCGCACTGCTATTACAATAGTGTTGTAAAAAGTCGTCAAAAAAAAACCGTCGTTAGAATATTGTAAGTAATAATCAAGAGATACACGCTTATAACTTATTATATGTGAGCTAGCGCTGACCAAAATAATCCTTATTCAAAAATATTAAATTATTTTTGATAATAAACTATAATTGTCTATAATAAACTATAACATACATGCATTTTAATGATTTTTATGCGGAAAGTGAGTAATTCGTTTTTCATCGATCCTGAGGAATTCCACTTTTAGAATTATTACACTATTGTATTAACAGTGCGAAAATCATATCATATCTACAGTTAGTTGATTTGGATTTTCGCCATATTTAAGAAATTAATAATAGAAATAAAGCTAAATCATCTAAAAATGTTAAAAAAAAGTTCTTTTCAATATTCTGGCTAATTGTATCTAGTAAAGTTTTGCAAAATTGTCTGAAGTTGTATGCACCACACCAGGGCAGTGACCCCGCCACCTGCCTCACCGAGCGATACGTAATCTTTCTCGATCGCTTATTTACCTACTTTTTTAATTATGATTATGTACTACTATTGTTATAATTTAATATTTATTTACATTAATTAGATAAGTTGAGTGAAAAAAGTTTTTTTACCTTAGATTTGGTACTTACCAACTTTAGATTACATGAAACTATTGCTAGAAGTACCTAGCTCCACAGCTGGTGGCTGGATCCGACCCGAGCCACCACCGGCTATGCAGAGATTCGCACGTGAGTTTCGTTTTAACATTAGACTCCACAACTTTGAAAGCAGAAACTTCGACACTCATATCCTCCGCGTAAACTAAACGTTTCACATAAAGTACATTTCAGTACGGGAAGCAAGGTCGACTGATCTACCAATCGCGCGCTCGATAGACACTCCCCCGCCTTCGCTACCCGCACCCCACCACCAAATATATCTAATACGTTTCTGCGCAATTAATGCCATTATTCAAAAGTGCCGTGCGTACCTTTGGATCAAATTTATTTACCGCAATTAAATAAAAAATAGGAATTTACGAAAATTTTTTATCGATTTCTTTTTTTGTGTTTTTGGTTCTGTTTCGGATATAGAATGACCTCTGTAAATATGGCGAGAATGCAAATCAACACATTGTATATCAATATAATCATATATATTTCGACATAGTTTATGTTACATTCCCTTAAAACATGTTATGTATGATTTTATATGTGTAAATAAATAAAACAAAAAAAAGTGTCGCTCTCGCGCAAGTCGCGCTCTGTAGAGTATCTAGTTTTCAGAAAAAATAATTATTCTGTATATTTGCAAAAGTTAATTATAAATTCTGAAAAAATCTTCACAATATCCTTTAAAACCTTTAACATTTACATTGTATCTAGCTTCTTAGTAATTAAAGATAATCGATATTATTCAACAATTGGTCTCTAAAATTCTAAAATTTCAAATTTTTCCAGCGCCAGTATCGTTCTCAATAAAAAAACTTAAAGAACCAGATCAAATATTACCAAAGCCTGCATTACCATACGAATCTAGCTCCGACGAGGATTCAGAAAAACACGCAGACCAACAAGAAAAACAGGACAAAACAGAAGAACTTAAAACTAACATTCCCCTTCTGTACCCACCTAATAATATACCACCGGTAGTTGTTTACAAAATGGAAAGTACTGTAAACAATTTACCGACAATAAAAACCATTGAACCTTTGAAATTGGTTCCGAAACCTTTACCTAATATAATGACAGTACCGGAGATTCCAAAAGAAGAACCGAAACCTATTATAGTAATTGAGAAACCTATTGCAAAAGTTGAAGAAGTTAAAAAGTCTCCTTCTCCTGATAAAAAAGTGGAAATAAGAGAAAGTCCGAAAAAAGACAAACGGAAGGAAAAAAAAAGAGATAGTTCAAAAAGTAGAGAAAGGAGATCTAAGAGTAAAGATAGAAGATCTAGAAGTCGTGATAGAAGATCGAAAAGCAAAGATAGAAGTTCTAAACCCAGAGATATGAGATCCAGAAGTACAGATAGAAGGAGAAGTGTAGAAAGGGAGAAAAAAAGAGAAAGAGATATCGAAAGAGCTAAAAAGAAAGTGAAATATACCAAAGATGAGTTGGAGAGTGAGATTATATCTTTGGAAGATAATTCCGATGATATGATTGATTTAACAGGAGAACTTTCTGACTCTAAAGGTAAGTTTTCCATGCTAATAATTCACACTTTTACGAGCTCATCGTAGAAAACTGTCTCCGTGGCCGAACGGTTACCATGCTGGACTGCCACGCAGAAGTCCCAGGGTTCAATTCCCGGATTAAGAGAATTATTTGTATGGCCTACATTTATTTCTCGTGAGTTTGGGTGTAATTTATGCTTTTTTTTTTTGCTTTGGGTTTGTTTAGTTTGGGTGTGTCTATGTGTGTATCCATGGCATCCGCGAATCTGGGTTTCCCTAGTGCGGGGATAGCCCCGCATGCATTTATAGCCAAACACTCATAGGAGTGTATGCGTTAATAAATAAGTATTGTACAACATCATATACGTTGCTCAGATCCCAAAGTAGCTGAAGCACTTGTGTTATGGAAATCGGAAACAAAGACGGTACCACTAACACCTCAGACCCGAGACCTGCCGGGGCTCGAACCCGGGACCATAGAAATGGCGACACCATGAAAACCGGTGTGCAAGCCACTCTTTTTTTTAATATATAATAGACACACGCTTGGCCACAATCTCACCTGATGTTAAGCGACGATGTGACCGACTATGGGACGCGTTTGCTTAAAAAATGTCTATTCACTCTAGCCTTGAATAGACCCAAATTGTACTCTTCGGGAAATACAGATGTAGAGCCTTCCATTCCTTTGCCGTACGCATCAGAAAGGAGGAAGCAAAGCGCTTAGTGCGAATAGGTGGAATATCAACGACATAAAAATGGAGTGCTCCGGACCTTCTAGTCGACCGAAGGAGTAACGGTGAGGGTGGAACTAAATTGAAAAGTTCTTGCGCACACTCCCCGAAATGTATCCAATAGAAAACCGAAAAACAGGCTACTTTTCTGCGAAGGTCGAGATTTTGTAGCTTCGACTCCACAAGAGAATTATTGTATAATAATAAGTCTTTTTGGTTTTCGCTCCACCGAGTCCAAGGCAGCTAACTGGTAATGGGCAGAGCCGTTGCAAAGGTGGCAGTAGTACTCTACACAATCGAACTTGTACTTTATACGGATTTAAAAGCTGTTCAGATGTGAAGTACCGCCTGACCTTGTAAAGTATGCCTAGTTTTGCACTCGACCACGGAGGTCGTCAAAATTGCGTTATTATTATTATAGAATACTAGTTCTAATTAGCTTTTACTTTATATTTAAGATATATTGATATTGTACCCATGTGGGAAGCTTTTGCTATATTGGCAACTAAATAAATTATAAATGAAGCCGACAGCTTATGCAAACTCAACTAATACTGGAGTATAATTAAAAACACGTGATTTCTCGTAAGCTTTTATATTTGAAAAATAACATCACTATGACTTTATACAAATTAATTATTTTAGCAACATATTATAAAAATTCTTAACAAAATGCATGTTCCAATTTTATCTTCACTCAACGATTAACTGGTCAACTGTTCTTACTTTCTCTCTAAACTTCCCCTTATTCCCCTTACTAACTAGCGCCTTTAGTGTTCGGTGATTTCATTGGTCACTACACCAGCCAATAAGTGTACAGGAAATAACTTATACTAATTAATTGAAAACTAGAGTTACGAGTTGCATGCTTATGAATAAAACCCTTCTTAAATAATTACATTAATTATATGGAACAATGAACTATAAATGTGATCCATCTTTAGAGCAGCCCTCTGTAGATTTGCGTAATTGACTTTGTTTTAATTTTTTATGTTGTTAAAAGCATAATTTTATGTTATTACTAGGCGAGGGTGACACCGAGGTCGAACGTATGAAGCAGTTAGAGCGTCGTCGCCGAGCGGCCGAATTCTTGAAGAAAGTCGGCGTTGATCCTGCCGCTGCTGCGTTGCCCACTACCTCGTTGGCAAGTGCCATGGTATGTTGCATTTGGGAACATGGATTGCAGATTCATATCCAGTGCCACAGAGATTTATAATCCAAATCATTTCATAGGTGGACACATTAGAGTCGCTTCGTAAAAAGAAAGCCGAGGAGGAAGAGAAGCGGCGGAAACGCGAAAAAAGAAGACACCGTGATCGACATGGTAATAAATTAATGAATTAATGATATCGCTTCCTGAAAATACTCTTATTAAAGCAAATGCTTCAAACTTACCGTTTAGTTACATTTAAACAAGAATAATGTGGAAATAAAATGTAGTGTTTAGTACCTAAACCTTTCTAGAATAACGGCCTATCTCAAAAACACCACAATAATATAAAAGTTTTGATTTTTGTATATAAAAGTAAAAACGTTATGCATACGACAATAAGCTGTTCAGTCGACATAGTCTATGTATGTCTGTATTTGCTTGCGTGCGTATGAGAGTGTTTTTATGAGCGTTTGTTCCATTTCCTACAATATTACAGATATTACCATTTTCAGTTTACGACGACAATGACAAGTCTAATCGGAGAGGTAGACGTAGAAAATACAGGTGAGCTTGCTTTCGACTTTTTAAATTCTTGTTTATTTTCTGTATTTTCCTTTTATGTGGGTAAAAATATTTGTTGTATTGTTATTAACAATTTCCTAAATTTTCAGGACTTCGGATGAAGAGGATTCTGACTACGACCGCGATGGGTAAGATATCGTTTTTCTACGTTTTGAACATCACTGATCTAGTATAAAAAGACTGTAACAGCATTATACCAATTCTTTAAAGGATACGACACGTTTTGAGACACGCTTTAGTATCGCATTGTTAATATAGAGCTAAGGACACATTTCGCTGAAATTACGCACGCGCAATTGCGCTCGATCGTGACGAATTAAAATACATAACAAGATTTTATTTAGCCTTGAAGCTGAACTGGATTCAGCCTGTTTTCTAAAGACGTAGTTTCGGAGCCATTCCAGTTTAACGGAAATTGCCGATTGCATTTTTGACCTATTATTTGAGAATTTAATTTTCTTACTCATCGGTAATCGGTCTTACTGCAATCACAAATTTATCTTAACCTGTTTGTCACAAGTCTAATATTCGATTAGCGTTCTGCAGAAATATTCTATATTAGAATTATAAGGTGTATTTCTTGAAGACAGGCATAAAGCCGATCAAAAAAAGCTTTGTAGCTTTACTATCACTAGAGCTCCTTGTGAAAGAGTTCGTTTAGGAAAATACTGGCACCTTATCTATTTTTGCCTCCAAGCAGCATTACTGCGTTCCGGTATTTAAGGGTAAGGGTGCTAGTAATTTTACAGGCACATGGAACTTATCAACATAAAACTGAATTGCCACTGCAACTGCTATGGACTGGCATCGGTTACCACACACTTGGTATCATGCAATAAGTAGATATTAGACGTTCGTCGGCGGTGCAGTCTTTTTCGCTCTCATTGCGTTGCATTTACACTTTTATCCATAAAATCTCGAAGGATTCCAAAACTTGGGTTTTAGAAAATAACACTGTAACACCTGATAGGTATTCCAATCAATTTTTAACTTCCAATTCCAGATCAAAGAAGAGAAAGCGCAAAAAAGACAAGAAATCGTCAAAGAACAAGAAGAAGAGGCGCAGGGAATTTGAAACTGAAGAAATTGAAATAGAAGAGATAGATCATCCCCTCCCCCCAAATTTGGACTTGACAAGCACCTTGAAAGAGCTACGTACATCCTCCCCTACTAAAGAACTCTGTCTTCAAGTTGCAGAAGAGATAAGAAGAGAATCGTCAGATGACGGAATGGGCAGAAGAAAGAAAAAAAAGAAGGAAGACAGGGAATACAGCGAGGGGGAGTGGTCGAGCGATAGTGATGGAGACTCTTGTACTACGCCCAGCGACAAAGACGACGATTGACATAAGTTCTAATAATAATTTATTAATAACTAGTTGTACCCGGCATGCATTGCAATGCGTCAAATCATCTGCGAAAGAACCGCCATTTCGGCTGTAGACACATTGGTGAAAAATGGTTCTAATATTTCAAAAACTTTTTCGGTCGTGGGCACAACAACTCACGGAAGTTTTTATCGCAATCGGACGAATAATAATGGAACGCATACGGGACAAACATACAGACATTAATTTTTATTACATATAGATAAAAAAGACAATTTAGTTATGTAATTCGCAGAGAAATAAAGTTTTTTTCCATGTTTTTATGAATAATTAAGGTGTCCAGCACAGCATACTCGTGCTATATTGAAATAACTTTTTTAAATGCAGTACTTACTAACCCTTGGCATGATGGCGCTAATGTCGGGATGTTTTTGGACAGTGCAGCGCAATAATGCAAAAATACATTTTCGCATGAAACTGCGTCAGAAAAATGCATAAAACTCTGATTAGTTTTAAATTTTACGATACAAATCATATGTCACTGTTTTTCTCGTGAGTAGCCCTATCAGAATATCATATTCTAATTAATAATAAAAACTTACCTGATGCAGTTCTGATACGATCAATTTATTTTGTAATTTTTTCTTGCGTCTTCATTAAAGTTGTCAATGTAATTGCAAAAAAATTACAACTCATTGCCACTACAAACCACAATAAGTATTTAGTCCTCACATTCAAGTGTCTGGGACATAAATTAGGTACTTGAAATTGACCGACTGAACACGCCGCAATGTTTGTTTATGTTATAGCTCCGATAACGAGACGACATTAGTATTTTTTTTTAATATAAATGCTGAATAATTGTGAATTGGAGGTTCAAACTAATACCAACACAATAATAAATATACTATTTGATGTCATTTTTTAAATATCGAACGACCGCTTCAATTCTATAATTTATTCCTTAAAGAAACAACAGCACACTTACATTGAACAAATACGAAACATAATTATTATTATCTCGCTATTAATTATAGAATAATCTAGAATAATTAATAGAGAGTACGACTCGCGCTGTGCAACACGGATGCACCACAAGATTATGCGAATGTGTGCGTCCCTATACGGCGGGCTTGTACACATATGTACAAGCTGCGGTGCTATGTTTGTCTGGAGTTACCATAGTTCGCTTATCATACCACGATGGAAGAGTTCTTCCGATATAGTCAGCAAAATTATCAGATTAATTAAACTAACAGGAAATATCTGGAATTTGAAAAAAGGCAAATGCGTTAAAATAATATAAATAAATAACGCACGCACCCATAGATCATATAAATATTTCTCCCAGCTTGGGAATCGAACCCGGGGCCTCTGCGTGGCTGAACAGCGTAATAACCGTTCGGCCACGAAGGCAATTTCAATAAGGTTAAGAACTTTTTCATTTTGTGAATAAGTTCTGGTCTGGGATTTCTGAATAGTATTCCGGAGTGCAAGAAGCGAGAGACCGAGAGTATCGATCTCTGGTAGTAATAATGTAGAGAATTCGCTAGTTATAGACCGGGTAGTTTAATTGTAATTAACATTTGTATAGTTATTTAGATTTAATCGACCAAACTATTCTTGGTTAAAAACAAATCTACAAATAATACAAAAAGTAGGAGATGGGTAAAGGACAAAGCGCCAAATAGTGCTTTTTTCTACAGCGTGTTTTAAACAGAATCAGGCTCATAATTAGGCATTTAAAATCAATGTAAGGTCAAATACAATACTGCCCCCTTATCAATAACTAACGCATTTGCATATACAGGTTGATAAGCGAAAGATGCAGTGGAAATTCAAGGTCGCAGAGAGTTTCTATCAAATAGTAAATTGGCGGTGATATTTTTGTTGAATATTTCATAAATTAAATTAATTTCATATTAAAAAATTACGATAATTTGTGAAATTAAAATCGAGCTCTAACATCGCTAACCTCACACAATCACTTGTTTTGAAATTAGTTGAAAATGAGTAAAGTATAACAGATTTTGTTATTTATTTACTTACACTTACATATTACTCTCTTCGAAGCAAGTGGCCTTCAAAGTTAACTGCCTCCGTTGCCGAACGGTTATCATACTGTACTGCCACCGGGTTCGATTCCCGGGCCGGGAGAAATTTTTGTATGGCATACATTTATTTCTCTCGCGAGTTTGGGTGTAATTTGTGGTTGTCTACGTGTGTCCACAGCACCCGCGATACAGGATTTCCCTAGTGTGGTGCTATGAAAAAAAAGTAGTAGTGTGAGGTTAGTGATTTCGAATACGATATCGAGGAACTATCGTTATTTTTTTAAATGAAATTAATTTAATTAATCATCAACAAAAATCAATGCCAATTTACTAAGTAACTCTCTACGACTTTTTTTACATCTCAAAAAACGTTTTTGTCACATAGCCGCGTTGTAGAGGACGGCAGTACGTATTTAGCCATACAACATTACCGGCGCGACTCTAAAAACTTCTGCCCCCTTAGCATGGCTACGCAGATAGTCGCGACGCGCGCGATGAAATTGAAATAAGCGCACGCTATTGGCTATCTAAATTAGATCTGATTGAGACAGCCAATAGCGCGCGCTTATTTCATTTCATCGCGCGATTATCATGCGTAGCCATGCTACGGGGGCTGTTGCTACTTTCTTTTTTAAGATTTTTTGTGGCATAGAAGCAGTAGAAGCTCCTTGTGAGAGAGTTCGTCCAGGGAAGTACTGCCGCTTACCTATTTCTGCCGCCAAGCAATAATGTCAGCATTACTGTGTTCCGGTTTTGAAGGTAAGGGTGCTGGTGAAATTACAGACACATGGGACTTGTCAACTTACGTCTCAGGGTGACGGGCGCAGTGGCAGTGCCCCTCAGATCTTTGCAATTTAAAGCTCTGAGTAGCACTGTAACTGTTATGGATAGGCGTGTAGCTTACCATCAGGCGTACCACTTGTTCGTCCCGTCACTTGATGTTATGAAAAAAAACCTACCTTTGTGGAGTAAGAAAAAAAAATCTTTCGAATTAACGTCTTTTACCACTGCGTGATGTAGCATTCTAAAGCAATGCTTGTAAAAACATCTGAATTACAAAATATGGACATAAGGTCCTTTACCTCTCACCTACAGAAATGAAAACAGGTAAAGCATAACAGTCCGAGACAGCGTTATTAACAAAATTAATCCGTTTTTATGATTCCAAATCGCTCAGATATAAAATGCTGGCTTTAAAGGGAATTTCTTTAGCTGAGCTGACATTACTGTATTGTACAACGTAAATTTACTAGACTGCTCAAAACAATCGTTTTATTTTGAATCCTGTCACTGCCACGGTACATATAATATACGTTTTAAATTAAATATAAATATAATGTAGGCAAACTATAATAAATGAAGTTAGTTTTATATTTTCCGTTTTTTATTTTCGTCGTTTTTCATTCTAGGGAAAGTAAAACTGCCCTCCTTGTTACCCTAAAGCATTTGCATAATTTGCATTTCTAATTTTCGAAGCATAGGCAATTGCCACCTAAAGTTTTTTGTCACTTAGGCTCAATTTATATTGTGGCGAAAGGAATGGAAGGTTTTTGTAATGATATTGTACATAGCATAATGATCTTTATGGTCAATTATGTAACGTACAAACTAGATACGAGCCAATATCTTCAACGGAATTCTTGCGAATGCGTGTGAGCATTCTCGAGCATGCGTCTATGTTGTATTCCAAAGATTCGCTTCCACATTTATATGACGAACGGCAAGGGAAGGAATTCCCTGCCTGCAGACTTGATCCCCGAACGCTATAACTTGGACCTTTTCAAGGCGAACGTGAATAGGCACTATTTAAGTGTGCATACTACATCTTCGACCTCATCGTCACTTTCCATCAGGTGAGATAGAGGTCAAATGCTTACTTATTTATGTTATTTAATTTGATGTATTTCTCCATAATAAAATACAGATTTAAAGTTAATCACACTTTATTTTTACTTTACTCACAGGACAGGGACAGAATGATACCACACCAAAAACAAAATTACCTTTTCTTATTTCTACTAATGTTGCTACCTAATTGTACAATTGCTACTGTCAAAAATTTACTTACATAAAAAATAAACACACCACGAAAGTATTTTCCAGAGCTCCCTTCCAATAACAAATATGGTGAAGAAATTTACTTTGCACACGTTCTAATCGATTAGAATGTACCTAATAATGCGAGTTCCATACAACAGAACAATACTCAAGAGTACGAGAAAGAGAATTAAATAAGATCGCTTGGAAAGAGCGCTTTTAAAGCATTTAGTCGTCCGCCTTGTTAAATTACAGGTACATGCGACTTGTCAACAAGATGTCATAAAGATCTGGGGGGGCGCAGTGACAGCGCCCCTTCAGATCTTTGTGATTTAAAGATCCGAGTGGCACTGTCACTGTTATGGATAGACGTGTCCATACCAGCCTTACACTATTTTTTTTGCCATCCTGAAGTAGGCACACAAATTGTTCGTTCCGTCACATGGTAATATAAAAAAATATGTATGCTTATCGCAGCCGATATTGCTCACATTGTCGATGTCGTCAAAACACGAAAATTTTCTTTCATTTGCTATTTTTATCGAACATCATATGCCAAAAGAAAGCCATCTTTTCATTCTCTTTTATTACTTATCACAATTTCTAAAAGATGTAAATAGTTTGATGGATTTATCTGCACATTAAGGGCCGGTTCAGATGGCAAGAGTGAGAAGAGCGTTCAATGCGCGTTTAAATTACACGATTTTTATTCGTATGTACTTACCCGTGTAGGTGTTCACTTGTACGGTGCGCGCTTGTCATCTGAACCGGGCCTTATTGTATCGCTTTATCGAGTAAACATCTTAATAAAATACGTTTAAGATAATAAAATACACTTAAAGATAGTCATTCTCAACTATTTGTTTGACGTATGTCAATAGTTTAATCCAGATTATCTATGCTCGTAGGTTTATTGTAGCTTTTATGCAGTAGAAGAAAACATTGCTATTTACGATCACGATTACTCCCGAAGGGCTACCCAAGACCTTTTAATTAGTGCTTTTTTTTATTGTACCTAAACGGGATTGTCAAACAACTTATTACAATCAAGTTCTATCCATTTATTCGTAAATTAGTTTTGTTTATAATTATCATTACATGGGTACTTTAGATAATAATGATTTGATAATTAATGTTGTTTGTATTGTAATAAACTATAAATGACCTTTATTACAAATTTGCTGTTTCATTTATTTGTTTAAATTGTATAAATAACAGACGATGTCGCATGTAGATTAAATTCGACCACTTTGAGCGTGTTCGATAATTAGTGAAGACTTACGAGAATTATAAGCTGGAAAAAATTACATGTATATTGAAATCTGCCAGCTTATAAAAGCCATAATCAGATGAGTTTTCTTAATGGTGATGGAAGGGAATTGCTTTTGCGAGCATCATACCCCGTCATAGTTTGTACTGGTGTTCACTTCATGAGCCATAAGAATGCAACAGGTTTCTTGCCAATCTGTTCTTGTGGATTTGTCGGGTTTTGTATTTTTGCTGCAGCTCTGAAGTTTCTTCTTTGATTCCACATATTATTAGCAAAATGCAAGTACACTCGTCGAAGTTGATTATTAAACTTCCTCCGTGTTGAACTTAACAGTTTAGCTGCCTCTGTGGCCAAACGGTTACCATGTTGGACTGCCACACGGAGGTCCCGGGTTCGATTCCTGAGCCGGGAGAAATATTTGTATGGCCTACGTTATTTCTCTCGTGAGTTGGGTGTGTTTATGTGTGTTGTTCCACTGCAAGGCTATGAGTATGTGCGTAAAAAAAAAACAAAATTTTTATACATGAATGACGTCGAGTGGCAGCGTTTGTTTTTTTGTTTTTGTTTGTTTGTTTTGTTTGAAATAATAAAAACAAACATCATTTTGATGCTGAATGTATGTAGGTACTTATCAATTATACATAAATTAACTGCCTCTGTGGCAGAACGGTTACCATTACGGTTACCATTTAGACTGCCACGCAGAGGTCCCAGGTTCGATTCCCGGGCCGGGAGAAATATTTGTATGACCTACATTTATTTCTCTCGTGAGTTTGGGTGTAATTTGTGGTTGTCTATGTGTGTCCATGGCACCCGCGACACAGGGTTTCCCCAGTGCAGGGCTATGTTGAGTATGTGCGTTATTATTATTATAAATGACAATACCTAGAAGCAAACATGTTCTTAGTACAAACGTCGTTGTTAATTAACATTATCTTTATGTTACCTATTACCTAGATTAGTTTGTAATTGTAGTACTCATAAAAGCTTACAGCTTATTTGATGTTTCACAAAAAGAAGATAGGCGTTGGGTTCTATCTATTCGGCTACCTTTTCGAGTATTTAAGCCTATTCAAAATATAATTAGTGTTATCACAAGAGATCGAAACATCTTGAGTATATTGGCCTAAACTCCAATGAAAGCTAGGAATTATTGTATGCATTTTGTTCTACATTTTTCATGTGTAATTAGCAATCATTTGACTACGGTAGATATCTCAAACTCAAAATACGCTTTAAACGTAAATACAAAAAATATATTTTGCCGGAACGGGTATTTGTCGCAAGTCATAAAAATTTTATTCATTTTTTTATGCAAATGTAAGAGCGCATTTGACCTCCATCTCACCTGATGGAAAGTGACGATGAGGTCCACGATGAGGCACACCTAAATATTGCCTATTCACTCTTGAAAAGATCCAAGTTATAACGTTCAGGGAACAAGTCTGCAGGCAGAGAATTCCATTACGTAGCCACATTCACATGGCGAACGCCATATAAATGTGGAAGCATAACGCTTCGTGCGAATCTTTGGAATATCCACAACATAGGGATGGAACCCAGGCCTACGTCTAGTCTCGCGATGATGGAAAGGGGAAGGCGGAATTAAATCGTGTAATTCCATCGCACACTCTCAGTGATATATTCTGTAAAATAGGTACCAATAAGCAGGCAACGGCGGTGTTCAAGACTGCAGCTTCGCCTCTACTA